GACAAAGATGAGGTCCACTTTCTGCAGATTCAGTAGAAGGTGAGAGCAAGGGTCGTCATGGCTTTGTGAAGAAGAAGAAGAAGGTTCTAAACAAGGGTCTGAAGAAGGCGACGAAGGAAGAAGAAAGTGATGTAGGAGAAGGTGAAGAACGAGGAACGCTGAAGAGGAGAATGGGACTCTGCAAAATCCCTGGCTTTTTGGTTGGATTTGCAAACAAAATTTTTATTTATACTCAAAGCTAAAAATCCATCACAATCCATATTTTATAAAAATCCTTAAGAATTTATCAACTTTTTAATACCATTAGATTTAGAAAGACCTTACAAATTCTCAATTGAATACCTTCAAATTTTAAATGATTTTTCAAAATCTAAATTGAATACCTCTAGATTTTAAATGATTTTTTAAACTCTCAATTGAATACCCACTGACTTTTAAAATACAAAAAAATCCATCAGAATCTTGATTAAATACACCCCCCTAAATGTGTGGCCTAAGCATTCATTATTTGTAACATTAATTTTGGTTAGGCTTAGAGAACAGGTATGTTTATATTTATATTAGTGTTACTAATGTATACCAATCCTGATTTCTTAGGTGTTGGCGTGTTGCCGCCTAGGTCGCCTAATTGTCGTCTAGAACAATTCTTAATGACCATTCACCAGTTAAACAATATTCTATCACTCCAACTAAACTTTATGAAGTACCAAGATTCAAATCTTAAAAGGAAAAGGGAGTCCTTAAAGCATTACAACTCATAGAAAGACTTGACGAAATACGAACCTTAAATAATACGGAGTAGTAAGCAAATATATAGGAACATGTGATGCATTTAAGTTGGCTGGGTTCGTGGCTGTGTGGTGGTATACACTATACACATCGCACAAATGGCTCCATAACAACATGGAAGTGCTTTTACCAATTGCTCTAGAAATTTGATGGAGAGCTCAAGCGATCAAGTGACTTCCACGTTATTCTAGCTGCGGTGTATTAGAACAATTCTTAATGACCATTCACCATTGTTCTTGAAAGAAACACATATAATGGTATAATGTGCAGTTAACAAATGTGTTGGAGTTAATATTATTTGAAACAGAGATTGTATATATAGGAACATGTGGTGTGCAAATGTGCAATCATGCAACCTCAATCCAAATGCCATCATGACCAGTAGTCTTCAACTATCTAACTTCAATGTTTAATAAGTCTTTGATTTGGCGTCAAAATAAACTGTAGAAATAAAGCATTTCTACTGTGAATAGCCGAATAGTAGGCAGTAGGCACTCAAAAATAGGCAATTGATGCTGTTCCATTTGAAGACATCGCCAGGCTTCTCTTCATGACTTTTGGGCCAGTAACTAATCACTATTATTGGACAACATTGTCTTCATTCATTTCATCTTTTTTCTAGCCTAGCTGGATATATTTAAAGATGATGGTTTATCATTGTGCTTGCTTCTTCCATTGCCAATGGAGCTAATAGAGTCATTCACTCGATGATTTAGATTCTTGCAAATCACAAATTCACAATACAACAATAACAAACCGAGTATGATGCCAACTCAGTTGGGGTTTGGGGGGGGGGGGGTCAAGTGTACACAACCTTACTCATGTGAATGTAACCTTTGTAGAACATAAGAAGCATGAAGTTTAAAGTGCCATTCTCATTTAGTTCATTTATGACCTGAAGTTAAAACATTGTAAAATATGTTTCTTTTAGCTCTATTGGCAACGAACACTATTTAGATAAATAACGGACTAAATCAAAAATCAAAATGACATGTTATACTTCTCTTGCTTCTAAATTCATATGAAGAATTGGGTGTAAATGTAGTAATGCATCTAGGGTCTAACAAAGAGCTATCTATTGTTTTAAGGGCTGTTGTTATTGCTGTATCATTTTACTAGCTATGCTAGTCTTCTCTTCAACATGGTGTAATTGTTTGATCCATTCCCTGAACATAAAAATTTAAAGCTGGTTGGATATTTTCCCTTGTGCTTGTGGCTTGGCCTTAAGGATAGGAGGGACCCCAGCTCCTTTCATGGTCTCTTTATCACTATTCAACAATACACATAAGTAGACAAAAGAAAGGACTTACAAAGTTGTTTGGGAAACTTTCTTCTTTTTTTTCCTCAAAAAGAACTCAAGTATATGTTGCACCCGAAGTATCCTAATTTCCACGCCCTTTCAGACAATAGTGGCAATCAAGATTGTTCCGTAAAGCTCTCTGATCAAGCACTTGGCATTGCAAAATTGTCGGGATTTTGTGAATGGCTCTCCATACATCCAGTCATCACAGAAATAGATGGAGATGAAACAGTCAGTGCAAGTTGCAGTTCTCACAAAATGATAATATTTGCTCATCGATCATAAGGTTCTTGATGGAGTCCAGGTGAGTCCTTCATTTTTCTCAACAGATTTTTTTTTTGTATTTGCAAACCCTTTTTTACCTTACTTGTACTGGGTTGTGTTTGAGCTTAAGAGCAAATTTTTTCATTTACACTGTATCCACTGAAATTTTACAGGAGTTTGTTTCTGAGAAAGGTATAAGCTATGTTCGTATTGATGGTCATACACCTGCTTATGATAGGCAGTCTGCTATTCAATCCTTCCAGAGCTCAAAAGAGGTCTGGATATTTTTACATTCTCTTTTTGTTTTGTAAATCAACTGAAAAATTCAAAAAAGGGCTGTCACTGGCCTAGAAATTTGATTTCTTTCATCAATTATTCCTTTATTTTTATTGGTATTGTTAATAAAATATTGCTCTAAGAACTTTACTTAAGAATGGTCAACCACTTTACAAATTTCAAATTACTGAAAAGGATGCATCCCTCCATCATGACATTGGCATCCAATTTTAGGTCTCCACCTGTTTAATATTTGTTTAACGATTTAACTTATTACCATCATTGTTAGCTTGTTGATCCCATCTAGTTGGGGTCAGTGACATTAAATTTATGCTGGCAATTCATTATTTAAATTTAAATAACACTATTAGTTCATGCAAAAAACATAGTGACAATGTTTTACACTGGATGCTCCTCCTATCGCAGGCTTCATCTGAAGGAATAATGTGATGAAAATTCCAAAACCAAACTTTCATCATCAACTTATATTATTTCTAGACATGGAAAATATAATGAGGCAATGATGAATTGAATTATTTACCATTATCAAGTTTCATTAAAAGATTGATATTGGAAAATCAACTTACAAAACTTTGAACATGGGTGAACGATTTAACTTACCATCACTGTTATTTTGTTGGTTTAATGTGACGATTTTTTAGTAAATAATTGTAGTTCAATTTCAAAATTCTATCACCTTAAGTATTAAATAATACTCTCTCCGTCCCATAAAAAGCTTCCACGTATCCTTTTTTTTGTCTCAAAAAAGATTCCTCTTTCCTTTTGAGGAAGGAATTGTGTGGTGAACGATTTAACTTATCATCATTGTTATTTTGTTGGTTTAATGTGACGATTTTTTAGTAAATAATTGTAGTTCAATTTCAAAATTCTATCACCTTAAGTATTAAATAATACTTTCTCCGTCCCATAAAAAGCTTCCACATATCCTTTTTTGTTTGTCTCAAAAAAGATTTCTCTTTCCTTTTGAGGAAGGAATTGTGTATTTGTGTGGCTCACACATACATTTTCTCTCTCCTGTGCTCAAAACTCAATCACACAATTTCACCTTTATTAATAGCTTTATCTGGTGAATTACAAGTTACAACAACCCAGTTGGATCCCACGGAAATGGGGTCTGGGTGTATGCGGTGAATTGTGGAAACTTATTTTGTGTCGGAGGGAGTAAGATACTAGTTTGGGTTTTGCAGTGGAATGACTTTAAAACTCATGGAGCTTATAGTTGAGAAAATATATGCATGGATGTCTTCATTTGTTGCAAAGATGCTTTTGATGGTGGCCCATGTAAAGGAAGAATTTAATATTGACTGCATCCTTTGAGATTGCAGGTCTTAATTTATAAACAAATGGTAAATGTATACTGAATTTCTTGTTATCCCAGCTTAAGATTGCAATAATTAGAATACTTGCCGGTGGCTCGGGACTAAACCTGTCGGCTGCTCAAAATGTTGTCTTTATGGAACTGCCAAAGGAACCTGCACACATGCAACAGGTGCATCTATTATGCTTCTTCAGTGGAACAAGAAACTTCTATAAAAAGAATCCTTTTTAATTTTTTCTGGTTTTGTGTTGTTTTTGTTTATTTTTTCTCCCAAGTTCCTCAAACTTCATATTTTCTTTGCAACTTCACGAACACCCATCCTTGAACTACTGATTTGCACATTTTAATAGATTATTATGATTTCTTATTTATTCATTATATTTTCTTGTGCATTTTTAACCGTGCAATGCACACATCGAGACTAGTAGTCTTTATAAACATGTTTCTTGCAATCCGTTGAGCTATTGTTAGCAATTGGATACACACCCTAGTTCTAGTTTTATACCACATTCTGAAACTCCTTCCTTTCAGTATTGCATAATTCTTGACCGTCTTCCTGATGTTTAGCTATTTTGAGATTGAAGGCTGAAGATAGAGCTCATAGACGCAGGCAAAAGAATGCAGTCAACATATACATCTTTTGTGCGAAGGTGCCACTTCTATAGTTCTATTCTTTACCCTAAATTGATAAGAGGAACTTTGTTTTGTTACTTGTAATATTGTGAAGATCGTGTCAAGGACCTTCTAGCTCAGCAGCATAAACCTGAAATGTCATACCAGAGAGCGCACAATTATCCCAGTTTACATAAGATAGAATAGTGAATTCAGTGGTTGTATTATGGACCGACCCTATGCGTAAAGCATGGAGTGCTCCCCACTTTGGGGCTATACAATTTTTATAACTATGAATATAAGCTCAATAGTTTCTTACAAATTGTTAAAGAGTATCCCGGGTAAATTTCACCCATGGTATATGAACTTTCATCATTATTTCACTTCGGTATATAAACTTTAATTTCTATCACAAAAGTACACGAACTTTCAACAATCTTTCACCGGTAGTCCAATAGGCGGTTTCTAAGTCACCTTCAGGTCATTTGGATCAAATTATAATTTTATAAATTTAAATTTTATGATTTTGACCCCTTTTCTTTTTTT